GGGGCGGGGGTGTTTTTTGGGGTGAAAAAGGCCCCCGCCCACCGCCAAGCAGCAGACCTGGACGAGATGGAAGGGCAGAGACCAGGGCAAGACACCGCTGCCCCGGCCACGGCCACCGCGTTCGGTGGGACCTCCTAGGCCTGGAGGAGCCGGGGTTTCAGTTCTAGCTCCGTCCCCGACTGGCGCCTTGATCCCGAATGGCTCACTTTCTTTTTCGAGTCTTAATTTCCGCATCTGTGAAATGGGGAGCTTTGTCTCATTTACTCCAGGCTTGTCCACCCCAAAACTTCTGGGGCGGGCCCTCCTGTGATCTCTTGTAGGATTTCCAGTTCCACAAACAAACCTGACCCGAGGGAGGAAAACGGGGTCGTTTCTCTTTCCCTGTGAGGAATCTCAGGCCAGCACATCGCTCTTAGGGAGGCCGGGCCGTGTCAACAGAGCTGGGGACCTCTGGGCATCCAGCTGGTGCGGCGTAGGTGAGTGGAAGGTCTGGTTAGCCACAGAATCCCCAGAGGGAGCCCAGAGGCCAGGACTCTGGAACTAGTGGCAGGAGTCCCAAAGCTCTGCTCCCTCCCTCAGTGCGCCTTCATCCTGGTGTCTGACTCTCCCACTGTCACCTGGACTGGGCTGAGTGGGAGAGGGCCCTCATACAGGGCTCTGGGTGACAGTTTAGTTTCTGCCCCTGGGGTCTTGCCAGCTCCCCTCCTGTCCTTTGCGCCTCTGGATCTGGATGCCCAAGGTGCTGGGGGTGGGGGACGGGAGCAGCCCTGCCCTCCCCTGATGGGCAGGTCCTGCTCACTAACTTCTCTCCCCCTCACCTTTGCCAAGCCAAGGAGCCGCCTTCTCCCCCAGAAAGCCTGGAGAACGCTTCCCACCTCAAAGCTCCCTCCTGTTCCCTACTTGTCTGGTAATTTTCTTTCTTAGTTTGTCCTTCCCTCAGATAGTGATCCTCAGCAGGGCGGACTGGACAGGGACCTCAGATTTTTATCTCTGGTTTGATGCTCAGGGCCTGGCCCTAGAAGGTTCTTAGGGCTATATTCCTTCAGCAACTGCTGCTTCCCAGTGCTATTCAGAGTGATTTATGCCTGTGAAAGCTAAACCTCACAACAGTCTAAAGTCACCACCATTATCTCCACTGACACATGAGGATACCAAGGCAGAGAGAAGTCCAGTAACTTGCTCAGGGTCAGACAGGTGGGAAGTAGTAGGACTGGGCAGGTTACTTTTAGCCATCAGAGAACAGCTTCAGGTGAATGAATGAAGCCTGCTGATTGGGACTCCGAAGGTGGCTGATAGACCAACTAGGGTGCTGTGATTCCCCGCCCACACCCCACTCCCCCAATCCTGGAAAGACAGTGCCTCATTGTGGGATTTTGCAACTAAGGGAACCTCCTGTGCAGTCTGAAAGGAGACCTCAGATCTCAGCAACTCCAGCTCCTGTGTTGTTCTTCCTTGATACTAGTTTGCCAGGCTTTTCTGAGACTCCAGAACAGTTCCTCTGACTTACAGGCTCCCAGCTGCAGTGTCCCTGGGTTTTGTCTGGAGCCTGGGTGATGGGATATTCTCTGCTTTGTGGGCCTAGTCGGTGATCAAGTTAAGCAGAGAAGAGCTTCATTGGTTGTGGGTTCATCTATTTTTGTTGCTTTCATGCCTCTTGGGGTACAGGGTAAGAGGAAGGAAGTGAGGCAGGATGAGATTGGCTGGTAAATGCTTGTCAGATTTGTGAGTTTTGCTGTAGCCCAGGACTCAGGTTAGGTAATGAGGGGAGACCCTGCCCTCCCAGCAGAGAGCTTTCCATCTGAGTGGAATTTGTTTCTAGATTAGGCCTGGGAAATGCGGTCTCTCCTGACCCACTCATTTTTTTAAAAATATATTTTTTTTAGTTGTATATGGACACGATACCTTTATTTACTTTTACGTGGTGCTGAGCATGGGGCCTGCTGCCTCACGCACTAGGCAAGCGCTCTACCACTGAGCCCAAACCCCAGCCCTGACCCACTCATTTTAAAGGCAGTTTCAGGAAGAGACAGTCAGACCAGGGTCCAAAGGTGCAAAGGCCTGGAAACTGTGGCCTTGATTCCAGAGCTGGATAGCGGGAGCTCTTCTCTGATTTCTTGGCTGTTAGACACCCAACTTTGTACAGATCACTTCACACATGTGACCTCAGTTTTGTGCCTGTGAAGCAGGAGAAACGTGTTGAGGAAAGGGGCCTCATGGTGGGTGGACCACTGGAGGTCATTTGGCATCTGCTGTTACATCCCATAGCAGCTTAGTGAGGTAGGCCCCACACCCCCATTTTAGCAGTGCTCAGGCTGGGTGCCTCTGCAGCGAATGTCACAGCGTGTGAATGACTGAGCAGGGATTTGAGTTTAGGCCTTCTGGATCCAAGGTCTTCAGTCTTTCCCTCACATTTTGTTGCTTTGTGGCATTTGAGTGTGGCACAGGCAGGTTGAATTGTTAGTGAAAAGCGCATCTTTTATATATTCTTGGTTGGGAGAAGGGGCTCCCAAATGACTTTCTGCAGCTTAATGTCAGGGCTAGCTTCAAGTGCATGTAACCTCCACAGTCACTCCAGGCGTCCTACTTAGGAAAGTCCCCAAATTTGGCTTGACGTTCTGCTGTCAACATTTTGCAACCCTTCACCATTTCTGAACCAGGGGCCCTGCGTTTTCGTTTTGTACTGGGCCTCACAAATTGTGTAGCTGTTTCTATTAAAAAGTACTGAGAGAAGCAGAAGGTGGTGAGCACAGGAGGATCAGGCTCTTCCCTTCACACAGTGGCAGTGTGTCCTGGGTCCAGCTTGGAATCAAGCAGATGTGTATCGACTGGGAACTTTGTGTCTTCCCCAATATCGCCAACCATGGTAGCAAAAAGGAGATTCTAGTTGTTGGGCACCCTGGTGCACACCTATAATCCCAGCAACTCCGGAGGCTGAGGCAGGAGGATCACAGTTTGAGGCTAGATTCGGCAACTTGGCAAGACCCTGTCTCAGAATAAAATTCAACAAAGGACTGGGGATGTGGCTTACCAGTAGAGCTCCCCTGAATTCCATCCCCAGTATCACTCCTATACAAAGACAACTTTAGTGGACTTTTTCATCAAGACATTTAACAGGGCTGCTGTGCCATCCCATGGGATTCTGGCATAGTTTTCCTTGGCAAGGGGCAATTCTCAGGTTCCCAGCTGGACACATAACAGAGGTGAACAGCGCAGGTTGCAGTCATAGCAGATGACATGCAGATTCAGATTTTTACCAAGGAAACATCCACCAGTGGGTCCTTGTGTTTTGCCTATGAAGGTGGCCAAGGGTGATACTAGCTATCCTCTCAGTGACCTGGCCCTGGAGGCCTTAGAAGCCTTTCCAAGATGGGTTGTAGCCCGGAAGGCACATTGATCACTACACTATCTTTTTTTTTCCTATTTCTAGATGACTGTTTTATAGACAGCATTTGCATGTTTGCTTTGGCTGCCTGGAAGCTCAAAACTAAATTCTTGACTTAGGAAGAGCAACTGTGTTAAATCTCAATATAGCAATAGAAAAGGTTTTTTTTGTTGTTGTTTGTTTTTGGTGGGGGGGTACTGGGAATTGAACTCAGGGGCACTGGACCACTGAGCTACATCCCTCGCCTTATTTGGTATTTTATTAGAGACAGAGTCTCACTGAGTTGCTTTTGCCAGCTGAGGCTGCTTTGAACTTGCAATCCTCCTGCCTCAGCCTTCTGAGCTGCTGGGATCACAGGTGTGCACCACTGTGCTGGCTTTTTTTTTTTTTTTTTTTTGGTAGAGCTGATATTCATGGGATAGGTTCTTTGTTCCGATGCTGCTGTGTGTCTTTCATGTGAATCACCCATTGAGTCTTTGCAGCTACCCTGCAGGGAAGGTTCTGTGATTGAAGAGCTGTAGCTCTGAGGTTGAACTTGCCCAAGGTGGAGTGGTGAGCCTGCCATTTACCCAGTGAGCCTGGCTCTGGAGTCCATGTTCTTGAACGCAAACCTTCCCTGACAGGGAACTAGGTATTTTTACCTACTAAATTTGAATTTCCCATCACCTCATTTTCCCCTGTGTTTTCCCCCTTGCAGAGCTGGCCATGGAACCCAGGGCCTCATGCATGCCGGGCGAGCACTTTACCACTGACCACACCCCCGCCCCTGCCCTGTGTGTCTTGGCCATGTCTGTGGGAAGTTGGGGGAGATCCTTGGTGTAAACAAGGCTCCTGTGACAGATGTGCCTGCCTCGTGCCTGGTTACCTGGGCTTACTCAGTGAGGGTAACTGAGAAGGCCTGGTCAGCTCTGGAGTAAGAGCTGGAGAAAGCCCCTGACCAGAAGGGAAGTTCTCAGCCAAGGCCTGGCCTGGGGGACATGTTTTAGTTCCTCATCTTCCCTCCAAGAAGTTTCTTCGGCATCATCAGAAAGACTAGAGTCAGCAAAAAGACTCCCGTGGGCCTTGGTGACTTTGGCCTCCCAGAGCTCCAGGAAGCGCCCGCCCCCGGGCCCAGGCCTGAGGTTCCTTCTCTTTCCTGAAGGTGAGTGAAGCCTAGTCGGCTGCTCCAGGATGAGCCACAGCTCCAGGAAGGGGAAGTAGAAGCCCAGCTGGCTCTGGCCATGGCCTGTGAACCGCAGATGGACCCCGGCGGGGCGGCCGGCCCGTTGCCCACCTCCTCCCCTGGCTGGAGCGCCCTGCAGCGGGGAAGCCCTCCTGGGTGGGGGCAAGGTAAGGACCCTTCATTCTCTCCTCCTCCCTGAGGCTCACCTAGCATTCTAGGTTAGGGGCAGGGATGGGGCACAGAGCATTCTTTAGATAAGGGTGGGTGACCTTGGAGTACATTTCCAGGCTGCCTTCTAAGAAGGTTTTATTTTATTTTATTTTTTGGTACTGAGGATTGAACCTAGGGGTCCTTTACAACTGCGCTACATTCCCAGTCCTTTTTTTTTTTTTTTTTTTTTTTGGTGCTAGGGATGGAACCCAGGGCCTTGTGCATGCAAGGCAAGCACTCTGCCAGCTGAGCTATATCCCCAGCCCCACCCCCAGTCCTTTTTAATTTTAATTTTAATTTTGAGATAGGGCCTCACAAAGTTTCTGAGGCTGGCCTTGAACTTGTGATCCTCTGGTCTCAGCCTCCTGAGTTGCAGGAATTACAGGTGTGCCCCACCACGTCCGGCTACCTTCTGCCATTTCTGCCCAGATCATTCCATCACCATCTCCTGTCATCATCCTCTGCTTTTCAACTGATATTCTCCTTCCTGTCCCTCTGGTCTCTCCCTGGCAGCCAGAGGGATCTTTTTCAAATGCAGTTGGGTCACTTTCTACTTCAGGGTTTCCCATTTGGCTTGGCATGAAAACCTGTCATTTGCCAGCTTGCAAGGTCTGTCTTAATGACTGTTGCTGCCCTTGTTCTTTGTTCTTTGCCATGCTGTTCTGCCTCAGGGCCTTTGTACATCCTGTTTCTTCTGCCTCTTTACTTTGTCCCTGCCTACTTTCTATTGCTTAGTTTCCATTCACCCTTCAGAGCTCAATGCAAATATCCGTCCTATGAGGAATCTTCCCGATGACTTTGCCCCAGTCAGTACCCTCTGATGTGTTCTTCTGATGTATTTTCCTCCCTATTGTACTTACTACAGTCTGTAGATAATTATCTGAGTAATGAACATTGCACGTCTAGCCTCCCCTCTGGAATGTAAGCTCTAGGAGGGCAGGGCCTCTGTGTGTCTGTGGTCCCAGCCCACAGCTTGGCCCATTGTGGATCTTCAATAAACACTTTGGTTGAATAAAAGGTGGAATGAGTGGCTGGGACAGGCAAAGGGGAGCAGCGCTCTATTTTGTGGGAGGGCCACAGGAGTGTGGCTGGTTCCTTAGCGGGTCTGAAACCTGGCTGCTTAAAACAAGGGTTTCTTCTATTACCCCAGTCGTCAGGGAAGCAGTTCCTAGGCATGCACCTACGGCCACCGAATGGAGTGGAATGGGGTAGCTTTCCTTCAGGACATTTAAGACGCTGCTCCGCTGAGCCTGGGCAAGCCAGTTCTTGTTCCTCTGAGGGAAGAGGGCTCTTCCCTGTGCGCATGCACACACGTGAATACACATGCATCCTTTCCCTTTTGGTAGCTTTTCTTAGCCTAAGGGTAAAAACAAGTATTTCTAAGTGGAGGACTTGGTGTGCTTGTCTTAAGGAACAGATGAGCAATACTATTGCCAGGAATCCGGGAACTCTTGATTTGGAAGGCAAACAGACCCCATGAAACTTCTTTGCATTGCTCCTGCACACACTTGCTGTGCAGAGGGCCAGGCCCGGGAGGGCCTCAGGGTCCTGCGTGGAGTCCACAGGGCCATGTGTGCGGGGAGGGGTGGGTCAGTCGCAGGCCCCGCCTGCCGTGCTGGGTCTCGTGCACTCCTCCCCTTCTTGCTTCTTTCCACTCCTGTCTTCCCTATTAAAACAGAGCAAGTTCCTCTTTTCAGAGGTTTGGTTTCCTTTTCTCTGTTAATGGCACCCATCCTTTGGGGTGCTTAGAGGAGTCGGTGAAATCCTGAGAAGCCTCCACCCAGTACCTGGTACACAGTAGGGGCTCAATATCCAGACCTGTTGTTATTATCTGCCTTTATTTTGTTTCTGTCTACTCTTCCTAATTTGCATACTCTTTGATTTAATCTTATCATTCTATTTATTTATTTATTTATTTTTGCAGTGCTGGGGATTGAACCCAGGGATGCTCTACCACCAAACTACATCCCCAGCCCTTTTCACTTTTAATTTTGGGTCAGGATTTTGCTAAGTTGTCTAGGCTGGCCTCAAACCTGCAATCCTCCAGTCTCAGCTTCCTGAGTTGCTGGGATTATAGGCGTGTGTCACCCCATGTGGCTCTGAATGTGTGCCTTTACCATATGAGTGAGTAGCAGATGTGCTTGGGGTGCTGTGCTCTGCGTGCCTCCTTCAAAACCACGTTGAAATGAGTTGCACCATAACAGTATGAGGAGGGGGCACCTTTAAGAGGCGATTAGGTCAGGGTAGGCTCTGCCCTCGTGAGCGGTGTTGAGAAAAACAATTGAGAGGAGGAGGGTTTATCCAGGGTCACAGTGATGGAGATGTCAGCCTGTGGCCACAGGATCCTCGGCTTTGGGCCTGGGGAAGCAGAACATCATGATGGGGAGGGCACGGTGGGTTAGATCTGCAGAGAGAGGGAGGGGGAGGCTGGGGCTGGGGCTGGGAGGAGAAGTGGTCTCCAAGGGCACCCCTGGACCCCGCTCCCTTCATTGAGGGCCCGCACCTCCAGTAGATTACTTGGCTCTGAGTCCATCAGTGGGTCAGTTCACTGCTGAGACCAGAGTGTGTGATCCGGTCACTTCTGAAGAGCCTTGTTCCTGCACGTTGCTTCATTGGAGGCCAGGCCTTCCACAGGATCATGTCCTCCTGACCTAACCGAGCATGTTACTGTCAGGCAGTGAGTTATTGAGAGTGGGTTTCTTGGATTCCCAATAAACAGGATGAATGCAGGCCAGTTTTCCTATCTGTCCCTTGCTCACTTGCCCTGCTTCAGATGCTCTTCAGATGCCTTGATCTGGGACTTCCTGGCCTCCAGAACCGTGCGTGAGCCTCTGTTATGTAGAATTTGCCCAGTTTGTGGTATTCTGTTAGAGCAGCAGAAAATAGACTGAGACAGGAGAGATCACCACGAAGCCAGTGTGTTCATTCTCTACTGCTCCTGTTACAAAGTGGCCACTAACATGGAGGCTTCAAAACCACAAATGTATTATCTTGCAGTTCTGAGGTCAGAATCCTGACCCTGGGCTCGCTGAGCTCGCAGTGGTACCGGCAGGACTCCTCTCCTTCCTGGAGGCTCTCGGGAGAATGTTTCCCTTCCCAGCTCCTAGAGGCTGTCTGCATTCTTTAACTCTTGGCCCGCTTCCTCCGTCCCCAAGCCAATGACTGTCCTTCCCTCCTTCTTCCCTTGTCACATCTGCCCCTGCTTCCGCCTGCCTATCCCACTTTTGAGGGTCTTTGTGATCATGATGGGCCACTTGAGTGTCCCGTATGTGCTCTCTTTGTAAGGTCTGTGACCTTAAAGCCATCTGCAATCTTAATTTTTGCCATGAAGGCAGCATATTCACAGGTTTAGGGAGTTAGGGAGGGGACGTCCTCTGGGCCCTTGTTCTCCATGTCATAGCTGGTTGTCACTAACTGAGAAGCAGCTAGGAATTCAGGAGACATTCACTGAGCGTCCTTTGCAGTGCCGGAATCAGCGTCTGCTACGTAATCCCCTCGATGTCATCGTTCCCCTCAATGTTGGTTGTTCGGTCGCTATTTAAGTGGCCCTGGTGATGGGACTCACCCACCCTTTCTTTGAGAGGTCAGCTTTCCGTTTGGGGAGGTTAGGTCTCCTTGCCTGGTCTCACGTAGTATCCCAGTGGCTTCCTTGCTCTGGCCTCGGTTCTGTCTCCCTGGGGCTTCCCAATCAAGTCCAGTTCTTAGGGATTTGAGGATAGCCGTGTCCTTTCTTGTCGTGAGAAGGTTCTCACGGCCAGTGGGGTGATGCCTTCGTTTCTGGCCTCCTCCGAGGTGACTCTGGTGCAGCCAGATGAGGCTTCTTTCTGCTCTTTTCTCAGAGCTCCACAATGGCCAGGTCCTCACCGTCCTCCGGGTCGACAATACCTGTGCACCCATGGCCTTCGACCTGGGAACCGCAGAGGAGCAACTGCAGACCTGGGGCATTCAGGCAAGTGCTGTGTTCACCAAGCCCCCACTGCTTTCCCTTCCATCCGTCTGTCTACCCATCATCCACCCATCTGTCCTCTCACCCAGTTATTCTCCAATATTAATGAATGTCCCCCTGCCTGCTGTGGTGGGCGACGTAAGGAAGGTGTGTGGGAACTGGCCTGTCTTCTCGATGGACTCACTTCCTGAAGGTGTGTTTGGGGGTGTCCCTTCTGTGCCAGGCGCCTAGCTGGCTCAGCAGTGTAGAGGCAAGCAGGACCCCAAGCTCACACTGCTCCCAGAGCCCACTGGGGAAATGGACAGGGTTGGAGGGGTCAGGACTGTAGGGGTCAGGACTGTGGGACACAATGACGCAGCAAAGCATTGAAGACGTGCCCAGGGAGATTGGTGAGCCTGCCTGCGTGGGGGGTTGGGAGAGCCTCCAAGGAGACCTTGATGTGGGGCCTCGAGGACAAGTGGGAGTACACCAGGTGGGCAGGAGGAGAGGGGCTATTCTTGCCGGCAAAGGAAAGTTTGTGTGAACTCACCTCCCAATGCAGGGAACGCAGGCCCAGGCTTCCCAGACTCCCTCTTCTGCACTCAGACCCAGCTCTGCTGCCCACTGCCTCTGTGAATTTGGATAGGTAGCTTAACCTCTCTGAGTCTGTTTCATCTGCAGATTAAGACAATATCAAATCCCAGCGGCTCGGGAGGCCGAGGCAGGAAGATCGCAAATTCAAAGCCAGCCTTAGCAATGTAATGAGGCCCTAAACAACTTAGCGAGATCCTGTCTCAAAATTAAAAAAAAAAAAAAGATTGTCAGTTATCAGTTATCAATACCTATTATATTGGTGTTTAGTTAGGAGCAAGTGAAGTCATGTCTGAGGAAAATTTGCCCTGTCTCTGGCACATAGATAAATTGAAGCTCTTGCCGTTGGTGGGAAGTGCCAGGGGCCAGTTTTCCCTTCCCAAACCCCAGCAGGATGAGGGTTTCCTGCGAAGGCCAGGTCGATCAGGCACGGATGGGGAGCATGCACTGCTCATTTACCCGGAAGATTTCAGAATTTATTTCTTTGAAGCTGAATTGCATTTTTGTTCAGAACATATTGGGTCACCATCAGATGAAGACTTGACAATCGAGCTAATATCATGTCGGCACCAGTTGGCTTCGTCATTCTGCATTTCCTTTCCACCTTTGTACAGATTTTTTTTTTTTTTAAATTGGGAATTGAACTCAGAGGCACTGTACCACTGAGCACGTCCCTAGCCCTTTTCATTTTTTATTTTGAGACACAGTGTTATTAAGTTGCTTAGGGCCCCACTAAGTTGCTGAGGCTGGCCTGGAACTTTAGATCCTCCTGCCTCAGCCTCCTGAGCAGCTGGAATCACAGGTGTGCACCACTGCACCTAGCAGAAGAGCATCTTTCTCAAATAGTCATCTTGGGGTTGAGTTTTCTTACTGGTGTACAGTTTATATATTGTTGTACCATGTTCCTAAATGTAATTTTTAATTGGTAAATTATTTTTCCTTGGTCTACTTTCATAGGGCGTTCTGCAGACACTTTTGTTTGGGCAGGGAGAGCATGTGGGACTTTGGGCTGTGCTAGTGGATGCTGATATTGCAGTATTGACAGTAGCACCTGCGTATCTGGTGGTCACCATGTGCCTGGCACTGTGCCAAGCACAGTTTGTGTCTGATCTAATTTAATAAGAATCCAACCCTACAAGGTGGGTTCCCTGCATTTTGTAGAGGGGGAAACTGAGGCCCAGAGAAAGGGTAACTTGCTCCAGTTCACATAGCACAAGAGTGGCAGGGCGTTGGGCCAGGGCCGCCTGATTCCAGGGCCTGTGCCTTGACTGTCAGCCCATGCTGTGCCTGCCCCAAGGTACTGAGTCTCAGGCTGTGGGGACAGACCCCTTAAGATTCTCCTGGCTCTCAAGCTGTTCACCTTCTCAGGATGGCTGTTTCTTCCTGAGCCTGCACCTGTGATTTCCACCCAGGATTCATTCTGCCCCCTGGGGCGGCCTAACCACCCCCCCACACATCATGGGAACAGGCTGGTGGGATGGGGTGGAGTAGCCCTGTGGTTGACTAATCTCTTTCCCTTGGGTGGCCGAACAGGTCCCTGCTGACCAGTACAGGAGCTTGGCGGAGAGTGCCCTCTTGGAGCCCCAAGTGAGAAGATACATCATCTACAATTCGAAGCCCATGCGGCTGGCCTTTGCCGTGGTAAGGAGCGAGATGGGCACACACTGGCCCGGCCCTGGCCCTCTCCCACTGCCAAATGCAGTGTTGTATCCTGCAGCAGATAAGGGACTTGGCAGCTGGTGACCCATTTAATTGCCTGGGGAAGAGTGGTACCACATGGGCCTGGATTTGGCACTGGAAGAGATCTGTGGGAGAGAGTTGTAACCAAGTCCCTGTATACAGGGTGGGAGCTGGGGTTTCCTATGGGCAGATCCTGGACTGGGAATCTGCAGACCACTGGGCTCTGAACTCAGTGTCTGACCTTGGCTAAGTCTTTTCTCCTCTTTGGGACTTGGTTTCCTCTTCTGCTCACAGAGAGGTCCATTCCAGCTCTAGTCATATACACATGTATGTATATATGTATGTGCACATGTGTGTATGTGTACATGTGAACACATACATCTGCATACGCATACATCTACACTTATAAACACATACATTCGTTTGAACACAAGCCGTCTGGCCTTTGCATCTGTGGTCTTAACCACCACGACTTGCTTCTTTGGTGAATCCTCGGTCAGATGGCATGGCTGACTCTCACCTCCCTCTTCTGGGGAGAAGGGGAAGGAGTGAGAATCAGTATTTATTAAATTCTCTAGTAAGTACTGGGCTGCGACCTGTGTTACCCTGTTAACTCTTGCAGCAACCCCCCAAAGTAGCCGTTATTATCATCACTTTACAAATGAGCAAACTGAGATTCAGAGACAAAAGGCTGAATGGCCAGTTAAGGATCACTGTGGGTTTCAGACTCAACCTTATCTTTCTCCAAAGACCTCTTCTTTTTCTGTTTTATTTAAAATCAGAATAAAGAGGGCTTGGGAGCAGCTGAAAGCCCTGTGGTCCGCTTTTGCTTATAAACAGGGAATACATGTCCATTCCCATAGATCCAGAGTTGGTCTCTTCCAGCCCCGTGAGCTGTTTGAACCCAGGAGGGTGTCGGGAGCCTATGCCGGTGTCCCTGGGAGTGGAGCTGCTTCGTTTGAGGACGGGGGTTCCTGACTGTGCTCTCCCCTGGCTTCCCGCAGGTGTTTTACGTGGTGATCTGGGCCAACATCTATTCAACCAGCCAGATGTTTGCCCTGGGCAGCCACTGGGCGGGCGTGCTGCTCGTGACCCTGGCCGCAGTCAGCCTGACCCTGACTCTCATGCTGGTCTTCGAGAGGCAGCAGAGGAAGGTGAGATGTCCAGAGGCCCCTGCCATGCTCCCTCCAGAGGCTGGGTGGGCCTGAGAGTCCCAAGCCAGCCTTTCCTCTTGCCTGCTTTTAAAGAATCCCTCCTGCCATGAAAATTCACTCTGGCCCACAGGCACCAGGGTTGAAAGAAATCAAATCACAATCAGGACCAAGTCCTCTTTTTCTTTCTTTTATTTAATCAACTTAAAAAGAGAAAAGGTTTATTTCTGCTCATAGTTTGGGAAGTCCCAATCCATGATTGGCTGCTGCTTTGGGGCCTGTGGTGAGGCCGCTTGTCCCAGGAGCAGCACATGAGGAGGGGAGCAAAGCTGCTTGCCTCATGCCAGAGAGCTAGAGAGCTTTGTTTTTCTCATCTAATCCCTGTGGGTTTTTTTTTTTTTTTCCTGGAAGCAAGCTGTTTTAAAGAGCTTGAGCTTGGCAAGAGGGTGCTGAGTCAGTTGAGCTGACTGAGCTGCTCACTCACCTTTCCCTGGGTGCGCATGAGAGCCCTGTGAGAAAGCTCAAGGGGGTTTCGAGCCCACCTCCCTGCAGCACTGGGTGCCTGAGATGAGGGTGGTCAGACTTTAGGTAACTTCTCCTGGATTCCACTATAAGTGGCAGAGCCAGGGTTCAAATCCTGACCCTCTGAAGGTTTTGATCACCTTTGAAGAGGAGGTCAACCCCTCCCATCGTAAGGTATGGCTCATGAATTGTAGTTTCTTTGAATGTGTGTCTCTTGTTATGGGTTGAGTGCTCTTGTACAGTAATCCTTCGTTCAGTGCTTTACAGTCCTCTGGGTGGACTCTGTTTAAGGTGGGGAAGCCGAAGCTCAGGAAGGCTCTGTGGGCAACCCACAGCCGTGTTGCTAGTAAGTGGCCGAGTTGGAGTTCAAGGCCGGGATGCTCAGATTCTGAGCCATGTTCTTAGTGCGAACTCTACAGTGGGGAACTAGAGCCACTGTAACAAAATGCTGTAAACTTAAAACAATGTTATGAATTAACTTATGCTTCTGTGATCATCAGCCCAGGCCTCAAAGGGCCAGAATCGGGTGTGGCAGACTGTGTTCCCTCCAGAGGCTCTAGGGAACAATCTGTCCACTGGTCTTTCCCAGCTCTTCTAGGGCTCCTGCATTCCTAGGCTCGGTCCCTTCCTCCTCTTTCAAAGCCACACCTCCTCTGGCTCTGATTCTCCTGCCTCTCATTCCCTTTGAAGGACCCTTGTGATTACATCGCACCCCATGGCTAATCCAAGATAATCTCAGCATTTGAAGGTCAGCTGAGCAGCAGCACGAAGTCCATCCTGCACTCCAGTCCCCTTTGCCACCTAACAATAGTCACAAATTGGCCCAACAGCAGGGTGCTGACCAAGAACATGACTTGGAATCTGAGCATCCTGGCCTGGGATTCCAGCTCGGCCACTGATCAGCAGCATGACCTTGGGCTGCTCCCAGAGCCTTTCTGAGCCTCAGCTTCCCCACCTGTAAACTGCAGTAGCCTCCACCCAGAAGATGGACAGGATTGGGGAATAGGACTCAGGTGTCTCTGAGGGACCATTGTCCTGCCCAGCACACCGATGCTGTCTCACGGTGACAGGGAAGCTCCTGTCCTTGCATCCTGCAGCCCTGGGCACAGTGCTGGGCCTCCGAGGTTCTCAGCAGGCGGGAGGCTCCTACTCAGAAGGGGAGGCAGGATGTGGGGAAATTAGGACATGTCTCCTGTTCACTGGGACAAATAGGAATTTTATGGCTGAATCATTCTGAAAGGATCTTTGTTGGGCTTTATAACCAGGCTGACAAGATAACACTGCCCTCGGGCTGTGCTGAAACTTCCCCCCAATAGCCCTTGTGCTTGGCTGGTAAGAAATGAATGGAGCAAGCTGCTCCTGAAGCAGGAAGCTTCTTTGGGGAGAGGAAAAAGCAAAGTGGTGTGCTTGAGCAGAGGCAGGAGAATGGCTGGCACCTGGCTGCCTGAAGGCTGCAGATGCAAGCCATGTGGTCAGGGACGCCTGTGTGGGCGCCCCGCCCCGCCTCTCCCCTCCTTTCATTCAGCTGGCAGCTGTGATGCCCCTGTGAGTTCCAGATATGTGCTAGGCACAGGTCACAGGCATGAGCAAGGCCCAGCCTCTCACAGGCATCACAAAGGCCCAGGGGCACCGAGGGAGTGTTCTTGGGCCATCTGCTCACTCTGGAAGCTCCTGACAGTGAGCCCTGTGTCCTGAGCACCCGCTATGTGCCCTGTGCTTAGGGCCTGAAGTATGTGCCCAGGACACTTTGGCCATTTGTTAGCCCTCAGCTTGGAGCAGGTTACCATTTTACCTGCAGGGCTTCAGTTTCCTCACCTCTAATGTGGCAAAATAACTGGGATTTTTGTGCAAATGAAATACTTTAATTCATGAAAAGTGCTTACGGTAGTGCTTGGTATACTGTAAATGCTACTTAGGTATTACATGTCATTACTGTCGATCTTGTCTGCCGGTGGGGAACCTGGAGCCCAGCGAGCTGAAGTGACGAGTCTGTGGCCACACAGCTCTCCTTAGGTCCTCCTCTGGATCTCAGTTCAAGGGCTTCAAACCTGTGAGGCTTCTTGGTCCTCAAGACCATACAGATCCCTGTTCCCAGGCTCCTGGCCGGTGTTGCTATTGGTGCCCCACCCACATCCCTTGCACCCACAGGAGCCTCAGGATTCATACCTACTGCCTCATTTTCCTCACGGGCCTTGCTGCCCTTCCCTGAGAGCAGAAGGTTCGGGAGGGCAGGCGAGACTGTGCCCAGCACCCCTGTAGATACCGCTCATTGCTAAGCAGGTTCCTGAGAATGTGTCTGTGGCCAGTACCACGTGGGAAATACTGCATGCTAAACTGGGTTTCGTCATCCGAAGCTGTCGCTAGTTGACTGCAGCCCATTACCCCCAGAGTTCCACCTGGACCAGCTCCTTTCCTCCCTCTTGTTACCCAGTATAGGAAGGGCTGAGGGGGACAAGGCCAGGCCCCATCTGGGTCTTCAGAGGCAGGCCTTTTACAGACGCCTGCTTTCCGAGAGCAGGTGCACAGGCCATCCGCGCCCACCCCCGCAGTGCTGTTGCCCATGCGCCCCAGCCTGGGTTAAGAGCTTCATCCACGATCCCAGTGAAACCTCACTGCGTTCCCGGGAGGCAGGGACAGTGGAAATGTGATGTTTTGAATCCAGTTTCACTGTCAATGACATTGTTTACTCCTTATTCTGTAACTGAAGACAGCAGGGCCCAGGGAAGGGACATCACTCCCAGGGCCAGACCTCTGGAGGTAGAAGAGGTGGGCTTTGCCCTGGGCTGCCTGATATTCTTGAATTTACTGTCCCAACAATGGCCCCATTACAGGGGAGGAGGTGCAAGTCCTGAGGGTGAGGGCTGCTGTGTGGTGTCCAGGGTGGGACAGTGTGGCCATGGCCCAGGAGCTCCCTGGCAGCACAGGGGTCAACCCTGGGCCTGGCATCTGTCTTACAGGCTAACACTAATACAGACCTGAGGCTCACGGCTGCCAACAGAGCCCTGCTGAGACACCGGGTGCTGCTGGGGGTGACAGACACCGTGGAAGGGTGCCAGAGTGTGATCCAGGTACTGTGGCTTGGAGTGGCCTCTCTCTGGTGGCCACTTTTGATCTGGGCTCCTGAGGACAGTTGGCCTTGTATCTCCCAGCCTGTGCAGCAGGTCCAGGAGCCTGCAGGTGAGATGATGTCACAGGCCCACCCTTCCTCCCTGCTCCAGACAGCTCCTTGGGGCTGAGCCCCCTGTGGGCACTGAAGGATACCAGAGGTGTCCAGCCAGCAACAGCTCACAGGCTTGTGAGGATGGCAGGCATGTGGTCACATGGTCACAATGCCTTGCTGGCCCTGGGGCAAAGAAAGGCCCTGGCAAGGCTGAGATGCAAGGCAGACAGGGCACTTTGAGGGACCATGAGGAGCCACCAGGGAGGACAGAGCTGGGAGAGATGAGGCTGGAGGGGCAGATCAGGTGCTGAAGGCCTTGTCTACCTGGCTCGGTCATTTTCTATATCCTAGAGACAGAGGGGAGGCCTTAAGGTGACAAGTACAAAGTCTCACAGTGGGTTGGGACACAACTGGGGCTGGCGGTCATGATCCTAGCTGGACTCTGCCCAGTGGGGTTGCCACATCTCCTTGGCACTGTGTCTGCTCTCCCCCTTGCACTGAAGAGCCTGGAGGAGCCTGGGGGTGGGCACGCACAGGGCCTGGGGAGAATCCTTATGCAAAGGCCTTGTCTATCCCACAGGAGTTTATTGAGAGCCTACTATGTGCCTGACATGTTCTAGCTGCTGAAGCAGCAGCAGAGAACTACATAGATCTCTGCCTGTGGAGTTGAGCACATGAGCCCAACGTCAGGGGGTGAACCAGGTACATCACCAGAGTGTGGCCTTGTGGACAGGGAGCTTCTGCTGGTCCCTTTAGCCTCGCCGAGCTCTGGCTCTGCTTTATCAGTTGGCATGGGGAGGGGTGACCTGGTATGTCAGATGGTGGTGGGCTGGAGGCCGGGTGCATGGACACTCCTTTTCAGGCAACTGTGTCTTGTCATTTTCAAAATAGCATCGGGGGATGAGGGGACCTAGTGTCAAAATGGCCAGGGTGTGCAGGGGTGTTTTGATGGGTCAGGAGAGAGGGTAGAGAGGAAACAGGAGTGGCCATGAGGGGACAGTAGTTGACACAGGAGGAGGGAGGGCTACTGCCTACTTTGGTACCTGTTTGGAAATCTTTAGAGTAAAAAGCTTTGACAAAACTCCTCTCCTTGGATGAGACAGTGGGAGACCAGCAGGCAGTGGGCGGTGTGCTTGGCTCTCGTGGGGCAGACACTGGGTGGAGGGCCGTGGCCAGTGCATGGAGGTGGAGGTGAGGGGCACCCCTCGTTTTTTAGAACTTGGATTGTGATTATGGCAAGGTGTTATATAATGCGTGGCCCTGGAAGATTCGGCCTGTGAGTGTGGCCTGGCCTCCTGGGGACTTCTGAGGTCGAGGTGGAAGGTGAGGTGGAGGTGAGGTGGAGGCTTACCCTGCTCCCTCCCCCAGAGCACTCAAGGTGATGACCTTGGATCTGGGCATGAGCAATGGAGGTGTCGTCTGTGAAGGGTTCCACTCATTTGTCCATCTGGGTTCCAGGCAGAAATGTGCCCTGACTACAGAGTTCTTCTGGTGGCCCCAGAAGAACAGTGATGGCCCAGAGGGTTTATTCATTTATTTTTTGATTTTTAATATTTTGTACTGGGGATTGAGCCCAGGGGTATTTGCCACTGAGCCACACCCCAGCCCTTTTTGTTTTTCACTTTGATTTAGTGTCTCATTAAGTTGCTGAGGGCCTCACTAAGTTCCTGAGGCTGCCTCCAACTTGAAGTCCATCTGCCTCAGCCTCCCAGGTTGCTGGGATGACAGGCGTGCACATGCCCTGCTCTAGGAAGGGTTAGCTTCTCTCTGGGATGCTCGGTGACCTGTGGGGATAAAGCCACTGCCATTTGGTACAGGACTGGACATTTTCCAACTTTGAACGCAAAGTCGTTTTTTTCCTGGCGGCTGTACAGAGGAGACGTGGTCATGGTGGAGGGCTCTGGGAGAGCGGAACAAACTGGGTGTTCCTCAGAAGGGTGGTCCTTGGTGAGGAGCAGCGGGTGGGCCCCCGGCCTGGAGTGGGAGGCTGCTGGCGGGCGAACCACGGGGCCTGGCTCTTCCCTGCACAGCTCTGGTTTGTCTACTTCGACCTGGAGGACTGCGTGCAGTTTTTGTCTGACCACATTCAGGATATGAAGACTAACCAAGAGGTAAGCTCTCGTAACCATACAACACCAGCAAAATAAACCAGGAGGCCAGACTGTGTAGACCACATTGCCTTAACACTGGAAAAATATCCAAGAAAAAGTACCTTAGAAAGAAGAAGCCCTGCATGAAATTCATGAAATTGGTGGTTGCTTTTCTGCTTTCCAATTTTTTTGGTGGGGTGGGTACTGGGGATTGAACCCAGGGGTGCTTACCACTGAGCCACATCCATCCCCAGTCCTTTTATTTTTTATTTTGAGACAAGGTAGTTTAGGGTCTCACTACATTGCTGTGCTGGCCTCAAACTTGCAATCCTCCTACTTCAGCCTCCTAAGTCACTGGGATTACAGGTGTGTGTGCATCACCAAGCTTGGCTGAATATGTATTTCTTTATACTCAGAGTCATATTAATGATCAACTCTGGTGGACCCAAAGGTATAATGGGTTTAGGTGACTCTCACTTCTTCAAAGTGCTTTCTACCATTTATTCAGAAAATGGGGAGATCTTACTGATTCTGCAGAGGAGGAATCAGGCTCTGAGACCACAGCCTGTCTGTGGTCATGGTCTTGTAGCTGGTGGGGGATTGAGCCTCCGGGCTCTGAGCCCTGGGCTCCTTGCCACTTTGAGGAGCAAATGAGAGCTTGGAAGGTGAGCCCTTTATAAGGCCATTAAGGGCTGGGCTCTTATGGGGGAGGAGGGGCCCTCACCATGTGACTCAGTTCCAGATATTTCTGAGGCCAGCATCGAGTCCATAGTTAGCTCATCCTCCACTGGGTCTGCAGCGCAGGCAGCCTGCGCCTCCCAGCTCCCACCCAATTTAGGAAGCACCCACACTCCTCTCTGTTTCCTTTGCAGTCCTTGCTGAGAAGCAGACTGAGCCAGTTATATGTTGTCCTGGAGACGGGGGTGAGCCCCACGATGGCGGAGGGCCCCGAGAGCTCGGAGGAGGCTCCTCTGCTGCCCAGCAGTCCTCGTCCTCAGGAGAGACCGCTCCTGCAGACGGAGCTCCACCAGCTCGTTCCCGAGGCTGAGCCGGAGGTAACAGGCACTGAGACTGGGGGCCATCCTCCTCCTGAGAGGAGGTGGCCATGTAGGTGTGGATTCCGCGGGGAGTTGGTAGACACCATCCAAACCTTGAAGCCCGAATCTTTGAACTTTCTTTTTGCCTACTCAACACTTTAAAAAATAATTTATAGAAATTGTTTTGTACTGATTAGGATTTTTGGTTTTGTTTTTCAGTGTCTTGGATTTTTTTTTCCTTTATTGAGGATTGAGTCCGGAGGTGCTTTACCTCTGAGAGCTACTTCCCCAGTCCTTTTAATTTGATTTTTAAAAAAATATTTTTTGTTTAGTTGTAGTTGAACACAATATCTTTATTTTTATTTATTTTTATGTGGTACTGGGGATCAAACCCAGGGCCTTGCACATGCTGGGCGAGCGCTCTACCACTGAGCCACAACCCCAGTCCTTCATTCGATTTTTAAACAGGGTTTTGCTAAGTTTCCCAAGCTGCCCTGGAGCTCGCGATCCTCCTGCCTTAGTCTCCCAAACTGCTGGGATCCCAGGCGCGCTTTGCTGTACTCAGCTTGAATATTGGATGGTAGTTTCATGTTCACAGATTACAGCTTACTTTGTCAATACTGATCTTTAAAACATGTTTATCAATCAATTGATGAATCATCTACCCATCTGTCCTACCACCCCTCCATCTCTCTACTTAAACTGCCGTGGGATATTTGGATTTGATATGAGTCTTTGAATTCTGTTGCAGTCTCGTTCCCATAGCTCCCCAGGTCTGTGGGTCCTGCTACCCAAGCTGCCTCTTGGGTCAGGCTAAACCAGGAGCACAGACCCACAGTCAGGGAGACAAGCAGCAAGGAGTGACCTTGGGGGACATTTGGAACTTTAGGAGATCACTTTGATTTAATTTCAGCCCTAATCTTTAGGACTTCAAGGTTCAAACCAGCCCCGACTCCCCTCTTTTGCCCCCATGGGAATTGGAGGCCTGCCAGTAGGACTACTTCAAAGAGAAAATGATGACTGTATGAATCTTTTCACTTGGATCCTATTGACTTTTTTTTTTTAAAGAGCAGAAAAGATTCATAAGGTCACATACTTTATTGTGGCATGCGTGTTTGGGCTTAGATGCAATAGCCCATTAAACCTGGGTCTTTTAAATGATGTTTTCAAATCCATAGAAGTAAAATTTCCTGTCCTGAATATCAAGTGTGTATGTGTGCATAGTTTTAAAGGAGCTGCTCTTGTAATTTAGCTAGGGAAAACGCAGTCACTCCCCAAGTCTCCATATAGTCTGCACGGTCCTATTTCTGTGAGCCCAGAGTCTGTAAAAGATAGATAGTTAAAGTGACCTTTTCCATTTTTACAGATTTTTGTCCTGCATAAAATGCTTTAGCACACTCTCTGTGGTGGGGGTTACTTTCCCTTTTTGATGGGCAAAGTAGGTTCTGTGAGGTCGGCTGACTCACCCAAGGTCATGGAGCAAGGGAGAATGTAGCTTAGCCAATTTTCTTGCTACAGTTCTTAGCTTCTTATGTTATTGATTCTAGACCAAATTGGTGAGAAAACCAATCTGATGAGTGATAGACTATTTGACATTTTCAAGCACAAAGAACAAGTCAAACAAAAAGCTGTTCTCTGAACCGGGTGGTTTCTGAGTTTTATGTGTGATAATGGTAATGCTATTGATGTTGTTTATCAGGCCCTGGCTAAATGCTTTCGATCTTTTGGCTCCTACAGCCCTCCCCCACTCAGGTAGTAGGTGCGAGGGTTCTCCCTGTTACTCAGGAAGACTTGGGCTCAGCAGGCGGGGACACCACTCAGGGTCAGTGTAGAGGGGAGGACCTGCCTTTCCCCGTGGCCTTCTTGATTGGCATGGCTGCCTTCATTCCTGACTCTATAGGCACAAGTTGCCTGGATGGAACCCGCATCGTATTTCATTACATTTGGAGTGGACAGTGGTCTTGTGAAAGACCTTGGATATGCTCTAAGAATAAGCACGTTTCCCTCGAATCTCACCTGCTAGACTAGTGGGTGTGTTAACAGCATGCATTAATTCTAATTTTTAAAATTCTTGAAATTCTTCAATTCTTCAAAGTACATTTTAATTGTTTTCATTTTGGTAAAGTATAGATAGTATGAAGTGCACCGTCTTAATCATTTTGAGTATACAGCTCAGTGGCTTTGATTATGTTCACGGTGTTAGCACCACCACCTCCAGAGCACCCTCGGCCCCCCATGCTGAAGCTCCACACCCGTAACACTTGCCCCTCCTCTCCCCGCAGCCCCTGGGGCTGCCCTTCTGCCTTTTCTTGCTGTGAATTGACTGCTCCAGGTGCCTTATGTAGTAGAGACAGCATTTGGACATCAGCGGACCGTGTTTGTCCTTTTGGGTTAAGTCCAATTTTTATAAGCAACCTTTTATACATTAGGAGTGCTTGTATAAAGAGACCTACCAGGTACTCTGTGTGAATTGGAGACTCCTGCTCCATTGGGAAATTTCCCCAGGTCCTCATTTTCCTCTTCTTAAGTGATCACCTTGACCTCACTTACTTTTACAGACTCATGGACATTCGAAATGGGAAGAGTGTGTGAGGAGGGTTGGTAATTTCCTTAGTGCTTTGAGGTTATGTGTCCATTATTATTATTATTAATTATTATTATTATTGCAGAGGATTGACCCCAAGGCCTCACGCATGCTAAGCCCGTGTTCTACCACCCAGCCACGCCCCAGTCCCTGTGCGTTTTATCGTTCACACACATTAGTTACCCCCTTGGAGATGAGGAAGCCCAGCTGCGCCAGCCCCTAGCCAGGGAGCCTTTGAGCTGGGTTCTAGGAGGGGCTAGAGTCTTTGAGAGCCTCGGGTGCCAGCCCCGCCTCTTCTCTCCCAGAGAGCATCACTCCTGGGCTGGGGGCCAGAGGCCCCCCGCTCACCTCCCTCAAGGTGTGTCCCTGTGGCCTCACTCTGCTTCTCTGCCTCTTCCAGGAAATGGCCCGACAGCTGCTGGCAGTGTTTGGTGGCTACTACATCCGACTTTTGGTGACCTCCCAGCTGCCCCAGGGAGTGGGGACACGGCACACAGACTCTCCCAGGATCCCGTGCCCCTGCCAGCTCATAGAAGCCCAGGTCCTGGGCACAGGGTGTTGTCCATTCCTGGCCAGGTGACCTAGGGACAAGATCTTCTTCATCTGCTGTCAGGACTGAGAAGTGGAGGAGGCCTCAACAGCCCAGGATGGCCAGGGGCAAGCCCCTGGTGAGGAGAGAAGCACGGGGGCCGCACCAGACTGGGTCAGTCACACGATGCCAGGCTTGTGCCAGTGTCCCGCACCTCACCGGCGTCCCTTGCTGATCCCTGGCGGGGCTGAAGCCGGTGGTTGTGAGCTGGTCCTGCCCCTGCTGTTCTCTGTGCGGCCTGGAAGTGTGGCCATGGCTGAAGGGCCACCCTCATTCCTTTCACCACCCAAAGAGCCCAGGAGATGTGAAGAGGACCCGTTGGGGAAAGTCTTGTGTCCAGAGCTTGGTCTCATGATGCTCCTCTCCCCAGCCCTCTTGTGTCAGGTGGGGAAACCAAGGCTCAGGGTGGGCACCGCTCTTTGCCTCTGACTCTGAAGTTGTGAGACTGCCTCTCTCCTCCCTGAAGAAGAGAAGCAGCTTCTCCGACTTTCCTCCATTCCTAGGTTTTTCTCCCCATGTTGTCTCCACCACAGTGGCCCCTGGTTTGTGGTCTGCTAGCCTCGGGGCTCAGGACAGAAGCAGGAGTTAAGGGGCCGATGACCCTCCAGCAGGAACGCTGGGAAGGGATGGGTCCTGTGGTGGCAGGACTGGTGTCGCCTGCCCGCCATCGCGGTTCACACTGCAGACATAGCACAGCTGTGTTTTCTGACACTAATGTTGAAATGTGATCAGTCACTTGTGAAATTCTGTGAAGAGTTCCAAGACCTCCGACTGTCCTGCTCCCCCAAATGTTTCAAGACCACTCGTTGCACAGATGCAAGTCCCCAGGCCCTGGCCTAGCATGGAAGGCTCCCAGCCCCCAAGACTCAGCCTTCGACTGTCTCTCAAAACCCTTTTATAAGTTGGAATCCCTTTCTGAACGGTGTACCCATTCCTTTCTGTCTCGTGGACTTGTATTCATGCTTTAAAACCCCGCCTTCCCGATCCCTCCTTCAGGGAGATTAGCAACAAGCCCCATTGATGTCTCCTTTAAATTCTTGACACAGTTGCTGCTTGGGTTGAAGTTTTATGTTGCTGATCTGGTTTTTCTGTGCACATGCCTGTTTTTTCTTGCTAGATTGTAAACTTCTCAGGGTCCCAGATGGCACCTTATACTTTTTTTGTGCATGACTTACACCTGCTAAAGAGAAAAGAAAAAAAAAAAAAGAAAACACAAAACCCTGTGGATTGATTTCTTTGCCGATTCCATATCAGATTCCTCAAATCTCTCTCCAGATTGCTGGGGGCTGAGAACCGGGTCATGATGGACCTGCTTTCTGGTCTTGGTCTTCCTCTTCTAGGTGTTTAACTTTTGGCAAGTTGCTTTCTTTGACTGGTCCTCAGTTTACCCCTCTGTACGGTGGGTGGATTGGATGATTGTTCAGGGCCCTCCCAGGACCAAAGTTTGTTCTGTCTGTTTTGGCTTCATCTACATTCAGAGAAGTCCTGCCACCCTTCATGGCTTTGGCGTGTAGGTTCTGTATCCTGGTGTCCCTCCTCCCTGTCAGGAGGCCTGGATTCTTGTCCCCGATCTGCTGCTTCCTAGCTGTGTGACTTTGGCTAAATCACTTACCCTCTCTTGAGTGTGATTCTACTCCTTCATCAAGTGGATCTGGTGAACCTGAAGTCTAATAATGCAGCTCGCTTGCCACCTGGGAGACAAACCTGTTAGTTTTTTTTCTGTGCTGGAGAAGAGGGGTCAGGTAGGTGCATAGCCCCGCCCCGGGAATGGCTGTGTTAAGTGTCTGTGTTTAGCCGTGTCCCAGGGCAGCTTTGTTCAGTGAAGATGTTTACAAAGGTGATCACTGTCCTTCTGATCTAGTGTCACTCTGGATGTGATCAATAGAAGCCTGTAGTTATCATCCCATCATAAAATCCACGAAGTATAACAACAGAATAAAAACGGGTTTGCTAAATGACAAGACAGCAGTGTCTCAACTTCAGGGTCTGTATCAGGTGGCCTTCCACCTCTCCTCTCTTTAGGGTTCTTGGTGGTCTCACCTGGTGGGTGGGGCATGCCCAGGTGTACATTTCTCCGTCAGAGACACCTGCCCCCTCTTGGTTTCCTCATTTATAAAGCCCTGTGATCTCTGTGTCACTGACTCCTCCGGGTTGCTTTGAAGATCAGCTAACCTGCTAGGAGGGTGCCCCGTCTCCGGGCTCCGTCAGGGGCCTGGTGATGCCGGGAAGGTGTGACATGGTGATGTGGTAGAGAAGCCTCTCACCGCTTGCATTCCAGGGTCACGTCTGTTCCAGTGTCCCGACACTTAGGAACAGTGTCCTTCCTTTGTCGAGGTCATCTCGCTCCTCATCAGCAGGAGAGGGATGGGTCTGCCTGGCAGGTGGTCGTGAGGGTCCATGGTGAAAGATGTTAGCGCTTGCAACCTTGAGTTACCAGCTGGTGGACTCAATAAGCTGTTGCTATTTTTAAAACTCTCACCGTCTTGTATACAGTAGGTGCCTGTTTCTATTTTTGTTGCTGTCTGCTTCAGACTTAATTACTCCAGCACCCTGGTGTCTTTTTATGTGAACAAAGATCCTCGTCAGATTTATGGAACTAAGCCTGGAAGATGGTGCACAGGAGGGGTTCAGAAGCACGCTAGTGACGCTAGTGACTTGGGGCCAGACACCCTCTGTGCAGGCCCCACACCCCCATTTCCTCAGCTCTTGAGAGAGGTGTGTTAACAAGGGGAGTGGGTGGAGGTGCTACAGCGCAGACCTGGTCCCTGCTGTGTCCATAGTAAACGCTCAGCCAAAGGCGACTGACTTACTATTGATTTATTTGTTTTGTGGATGGAACCCAGGCCTCAAGCATGTCAAGCACTTGCTCTGCCACTGAGCAACGCCCCAGCCTCCGTGGGGGCCTTTCCTCAATGGCTGCTGGATCTTTCTTGTGTATGTAGCACAAACTTTTAATTATGTTTCTCAAATCTGTATCCTTTTTTTTTTTTTTCCTTTTGGTGGTACTGGGGATCGAACCCAGGGCCTCCTGGTTCCTAGGCAAATACTCCACCTCTGTGCCACACCCCAACTCCTCAACTCTGCCTCCTTACTGATTTTGGTTTGTTGTATCAATGATCCAGAGAGGGGAAATCTTCAATTATTTTTTGTTTCCTTTTATTTCTGACAAGTTGTTTTTAAACCATGTATTTAAAAAAATTGAGATATAACTTATATACCAAGGAGTGCAGTTGAGTGGTTTTTAGTGTGTGTTGAAGGCTGCATAGCCCCCACTGCTGTTTAATTCTAGAGGATTTTCATTGCCCCTCCTTCCAGAAAAATCCTGAATACCTCCCATACCCACTAGCACTCCCGGCTTCCCTTTTCCTTAGCCTCTGGCATCCACTAGTATACTTTCCTGTCCACAGATTTTCCCATGTGGACATTTTGGGTAAATGTTTATTTGTATGAAAGGCCTGTGTTTCTGGCTCTCTTCATGGTTTTAAGGACATCCATGTTGTACGTATCACTACTTGGTTCCTTTTTATGGCTGAGTAATAGTCCATCACGTGGGCACACCACATGGACACACCACAATCCGCTGACTAATTGGGTTGTTGGTACTTTTTGGCTATTGTGAATAATGCTGCAAAGAAAGCTTGCATACAGATTTTGTATGAACATATTTGATAACATGTTTGGTGCTGTTGTCAAGTTTTGCTCTGTTGTTACATGGTTACAAATTGAGAATCATCCCCCATAACTTGGGGATGAGTTGACTTTTATCTTTGTGAAACTTCCCCCTTCATCCCTAGTAGAGTTTCTGCCTTAAGATCTACTTTGCATTGCATGGTAGATCAGTTTTCTTTTTTCTTTCTCTTTTGGAATGATTTAACGTTTTTAGAGGGATTTCACAGCAAAGGAAGGTAAGAGATTTCCATGTACTCCCCAGCCCCACACCCGTTTAGCTTCTCCATGATCAGCACCCCCTGCCAGTGATGCATGATATTGAATTTGATGAACCCACATCGACACAGCGTAATCACCCAAAGTCTGTGGTTAGCTTTAGAGTTCACTCTTGGTGGTGCACATTCTGTGGGTTTGGACAAGTGTATGGTGACATGTACCCACTGCAGTAGAAGAGGCTTTTCACTGCCCTAAAACCCCTCTGTGCTCTGCCTGTCCATCCCTTCTACCTCCTCACATCCCTCACCCAGTCGTTTTTCCCATCTCCACGGTTTTGCTTTTCTGGAATGTTCTACAGTGTGGAGTCTTTTCAGATTGGCTTCGTTCACTTGGTAATATTCATTTAAGGTTCCTTCATGTCTCCTCAAGCCTTGATAACGCATTCTCTTTACCAGAGAATAATATTCCATTTTCTGGATGTACCTCAGTTTATCTATCCCTTTACTTACCAAAGGATGTCTTGGTTGCTCCCAAGTATTGGCAATTATGAAGAAGGCCATTACCAACATCCCTGGGTGGTTTTCACTGCACACCCCACAGGAGCATGATTGTTGATTGCATAATAAGAGTATGTTGAGTTTTGTAAGAAACTGCAAATCAAACAGTCCTCCAAAGTGGGCGAAGCATTTTGCAATCCTTCAGTAATGAACAAGGGTTCTTGATGCTCCACATCTGGGACAGCATTTGATGATGTCAGTCTCCTGAATATTCTGAACTTTGACCATTTTTTTGTATGGTGCTGGGGATTATAACCCAGGGCCTTGTGCATGCAAGACAAGGACTCCACCAACTGAGCATTCCCAGCCCATGGCCATTTTAATAGGTGTGTAACCATATCTTATTGTTCCATCTCCATTTTGGCATATGATGTAGAGCATCCTTTCTTCTGCTTATTTTCTATCTATAGATCTACTTGGGTGGAGGGCCTGTTAAGATCTTTGGCCCATTTTATTAAGGGTGGTTTGTTTCATTATTGTTGAATTTTAATAATTTGTGTATTTTGGATAATAGTCCTTTATTGGATGTATCTTTTGCAAATAGTTTCTCCTAGTTTGTAGCTTATATCTCACCCTTGCTATAATTACTCAGTTGTTCTAGGAGTCTCTACATTGATGATCATGCCATCTGCAAACAGTTATATTTCCTCTTATTATGCATACCTCTCATTTCCTTTTCTTGTATTATTGCATTGGCTAGGACTTCTAGTATGAAGTTGAAAGTAACAGTGAGAGGGAACATCCTTGCCCTATTTTTTTTTTTTTGAGAGAGAGAGAGAGAGAGAGGGAGGGAGAATTTTTTTTAATATATATTTTTCAGTTTTTGGCGGACACAACATCTTTGTTCGTATGTGGTGCTGAGGATCGAACTCAGGCCGCACGCATGCCAGGCAAGCACGCTACCACTTGAGCCACATCCCCAGCTCCCTTGCCCTATTTTTGATCTTAGTGGTCAAGTTTCTAGTTTCTCAGTTCTAAGTATATTGTTAGCTGTGTTCTTTTAAAAATTTTTTTTTTTATCAAGTTGAGGAAGTTTTCTATTTCTAGTTTACTGAGAGGATTAGCTTTCTGTTGAGTACTGACTACATAATACACCTTTGTTCATCTTTTTACATTAAATTGTCTGCATTCTTATATTTAAGGTGTCACCCTTATAGGCACATAGGATTTTCTTTTATGGAATTGTTTTTATTTATTTATTTTCTCACAGTGCTGGGGATTGAACCCATGGCTTTTGTGCACGTTATGCGTGTGCTCTGCTACTGAGCTACACCCCAGCCCTGAGTCTTTTTTTTTTTTTTTTTTGAGTATTTGCTATGCTATGTCTAAAGGAGTTACTAATTTGGGCTTAAATAATACCGTCTTACCCTCTACTTTCTATTGATTTCTGCTTTTAGTTTTTCTCTCTTGCTGACTTTTGGATTCAGATTTTTGAAACAGTTGTATTTCCTCTTGTTTGTCTATTTGTTTTAGGTGATTGGTCCTGCGTCAGCCTATGAGGTGTATGCTTCTTTCAGTGGTCACCCTAGATGACAACACCCTCCCTGATTGCTTGGCGTCATTGTACATGAGGACTCCCAGCACTTCCTGGACAGAGGCCAGCCTATTCATCTTCCTGCCCGCAATGCTGTTCTTTAACAGCTTCTAGTTCTTTCTGTATTGGAAATGACAACAGACATTGCTGTTAATTCTTTTCGCAGCGACTGTTCATTAAGCTCATTATCCATGTGTCTCTATTACTGTTACCTTTTAAAATTACTATTT